GTACACTTCCTGCATTAGAATACTGCTTCTGTTTATCCTACTTTATTTTTGTTAATGCAAGTAAAGTTATCCTTGTTTTAATTTCGGCGGTTGTGATTGATAGTGTGACTATTCAGCGGCACCTCCTTTGCTACCTTCTGCTTCTCAACTCTAGTCTCCAAAAGGAGAGATACTTAACACCCACCTCACATTCAGTATTTATCTATGCCATTTCCTTGTACCAACATGCTATGTATGAAAAACAGAAGCAGTATTCTAATGCAGGAAGTGTACTTTAACAGCCATTTCTTACTTTATGAACTAAACTGCAGCAAATTTTATTGCAACAGGGCCTCCAAAATCCAGCTGACTTTATGATGTTGGCCTCCAAATGCCCACTTTCGGTTTATGGAAAAAAATTCCCAGATCAACTGCTCTGTATCAGGTGTGAAGAAAAAAAGCACATAGAATAACCATCATCTTTCACTTTCACCCAGCCTTTCTCTAGATAGTCTGAGTGCCAGGATTGTCCTACATTTGATAAATTGTTCCCACCAGGAATGTGTTTGGCCCTTAAAGAAGGCAATACCTTTTCTGCTTCTGCTGCAGTGCAAAGGTTTAGCAGCCAAGAAGTCAGGACATCACGGACGGAGCCAAAAGACTTCAAAAGAGTCTTGGCATCCTTCTCCAAAGCCTTCAGTAATTGCTCCGGGACCTCCTGAGGAGAGCTGGCCACAAGCCCTTCCACAGCTTCCAGCTCCTGATTCATAGGCGCTGACAGATCCTTCAGTTCCCCATCCAAGGCCTAAGAGGAAAAGAATGCTGTTAGCCTAAGCAAAGCAAAGTCTTTTCCAAGTCTGGAATAAACCTCTGCCTGCCCATTCTAGGTCACCCTAACCTGCCGGAGCAGAAGAGCCACAGCTACGGCACTGGCTTCACTGTCCGAGCAAGAAAATAAATGGGAGCCAAACCACTGAATATCAACCCTTCAGGTTTTGCTCCTCTTTCCAAGGCTAAAGTGTCATTAAATGTAAGTAATTAGAGGAGACAGGGCTTAAAAGAGTGCTTCTTAACTGAGGTCTGTAAGAATCAGAAGGCACAATGTGGCTTTTATATCTTTCCCTGCACAACTTTTATTTTTGGAGAAGGGAGAAAAAAGGCAGTTAAAAATACAACACTTTATAAATGTGCTCCAAGAGTGTCCAGAGCCCAGTCCAAATGGACAAACAAGGCAGGAAGTAGCTCCATTCTCCCAGCCTTATTCATCAAGAGCAGGACTCAGCCACCAGCAACTCCAAGTCCATCATCTTTGTGATTAGCTATAAAGTCCACCCATTTCACATTCTTGGCCCAGTGGACTCAAGTGCATGAAGGCAACTTGGGAAGTGAGAGAAGGGAAGAAGGACAGACAGACATGGAGAGCTGCTAACCATTTGGAAACTGAGGCAAGGATACATCTCTAACCTCCCCAGTTGACCTGCTTTTGACAGAACCATATTTTTCTAGTCCTAGACATACTGGTATATCCCAAAGACTGGTGACTCCACCTAACTGGCAGAGGCGAGTGGGCTGCAAGGACGAGTTGGAAAGGCCCTGGGATCCACGGGGGAAATTTCCAGGGCTTGGAAGCTGCTAATTTGAGCCAAGGGATCCTTCAATCCCTGGAATAATAGTCTCTTCTCTGACTTATAAACTCTCAGGTCAAAGCACTTGGCTTTCCTTAGGTCCCCTGTTGCCAGTCGCCCAGGAAGTAAAGGAAGAATGAAAAGTGGAGCAGGGCATCCTGCTTTAACCAACCCGGTTTTGTGCTCACAGGAGCAACTAAGGCCCAAACCAACACGGCTCCTAGTCCCAGCCTCAGTTGACTACCTAGCCCTCCTGTGGATGTCCTGCCTGCTGAGAGCCATGAAGATGGCCTTGGGGTTCAAGAGCCATTCCTAAACCAAAAAGGGCAAAGGCATTCCTTAAGCCCCGGGGAAGAAGAAAGCAGCAGGAAGAGGCTCGGCTGGCTCCTCCATGATTCCCTGGAGTATAAGAGGGAGGGGAGGGAAAATGCAGGCAGAGTTGTCAAATTCTGTTACCGAAGCCTACAGTTCTAGCCACCCTGTGGAATCAGTTTCCTGATTTGGACAATCTCGTAGGGCTGACACAGCCGTGTCCTCAAGCCGAGCAAGAGACTGGCCATGTGAGACATGGGCATGCCTTTTTCCTGAGGTCAGGGCCTGCTTCTCTTACCTCAGCCTGGCGAAGTAGCTCCTGCAGCGCTTGGAGGTTCAGCTCCGCCAGCTGAACCCTCTGCATGCGCATCTCAATGCTCCGCACTCTGGAGAGCAGCGCAAGCAGCCTTTCATCATAGTTCAGGCAAAGCCACTTGCTAAATGGAGCCTGGAAGAGCAGGAGAGAAAGAGCAGGGCTCTTTGTATAGGAGGGATATGGACTGAGAAGCATCTCTTTTCCTTTTGGACTTTGTTACATTTATACACTATTGCTTCTTTCTGAAAATACCCCAGTTTCTTTTCTTTCAATCACATTTTTTTAAATTAAAGATCATTTTTCAAAACTCTAGCAAAAATTTCTCTGGAATGTCCTCACCTTCTTAGATCCTTTTTCAAAAATGTTTACTAATTAAATTGACAATATTCCAGCATTGTATTAAACTAGTTTTTGTATTTGTCCATATGAAATTCTGGCTAGGCTTTTAGCTGCCATATTGTTCAATTTAAATATTTTAATGCAGATGTTACTATTTATGCTAGATAATTTACTTCGTTTGCTGCAAGGAGGCAGCAAGTAAATATAATTAAATAAGCAATAATATAAATCAACGATAAAGCTGCATAGTTCTCAGCTTGACAGTTCAAGGAGAAGACAGTGGGATTTGTTTCTGAAGGTTTTTTTGGCAAGATTTCAGAAATGGTTTTCCATTGCCTGCCTCCTAGGGCTGAGAGAGAGGGACTGGCCCAAGGTCACCCATTTGTGCCTAAGGCAGGTCTAGAACTCAGCCTTGCCCAGTTTCGAGCCAGGTCCCTTCACCACTGTATAAGGTGGCTTTCAGACAACTGTCACTAGGTATCTATTTTGTCTTCACAAATATACTAGTTCTCTAATTAAGTCATGAGATATGCATGAACAGCCATAAGATTTAAGCTACCTACCTTGGTAGATGTGGAAGCATCTTGACATTTCTCTTCTGTATTTTCAACCACGCAGGAAGAATCATCAACATTCACGACTTCTCTGATTTCTTCTGATTCCTGCTGCGTGCATAGCTTTTCAGAAAAATCATTTCTGCGTTCTGGAAACTCCTTGTCTTGTAGTGTTTGTCCCTCTGGTTCAATATTGTCACTTTCTTGCCTCAACTCTTCTGCTTCTGAAGACATGGACAGCTCTTTATGATCAATGTTTTCATCTTTTCCAAGCGCTTCTTTGACTCCAGCTTCTTTTTGTATGAATGATGTCACAGAGGAGTAAGAACTTAACTTGCCCTCTAATTTTTTTCTGTTCTGAAAAGCTTCTGATTTTGACTCAGAAGACCCCAAGGATTCTGTATACTTGGGTATCTGCTCTTCTGAACTAAAAGACTTTTCCTTTTTTTTAAGCAATATTGGTCCTTCTATGGTATCTGTCAAAGAATCTGTGTAAAGTCTTGCCTTTTGTACACAAACCTCTTCTGGTACATCTCTCTTTTGGACAATGCTCTCTTCAACTCCAACATGTTGCTTCTCTTTCCTGCCTGCTTGATGGTCTTGACTTTTAACTCCACCTTGTTTAAGTGGGCTTGTCACTCCACCAGATGGATTTTCCTGCAAGGATTCTGCAGTGCTAGGGATTAACTCCCCCTTAATACTTCTTCTCATGGTGGTGTCCCTGGAATTTGATGAGGGAGCCGTTTGTTTCTTAATCTTTTTTTCTTTCTTTTTCTTAATGGTTTTTAAGTCAACACTTTCCAAATTGCTGAGTTCATGAGTTTTTAATTCTGAACCTTGATTTGATAGCTCCATTTTGGCATCCTTAAGCAATTTGTTATCAGCCTGCTTGTTGGATACAATCTTGGTAGAGCCTTGAAAATGTATATCATCATCTTCTTTCTGTTGTTGAATTACAGAACTGTGTTCTTTGGATATCTGCCCCTCTACAGATTCTATGTACAGGGTTCTATTAGCTATTTCAAGGCCAAGGGATACCCAAGCACTTTCTTCTGGCTGAAACACTTTTTCTTTCTGCTCCTGGTCTCCGTAAATTGTGCTACTGTCCACAGGGAAAGTTTCTTCCAGTATCTTTTCAGCCTCTTGATTACTTCTTGTTTGTCTTTCTAGCTTTCCTTTAAAAAGTTCTTTCTTCCTCAACTTATTTTTCTTTTTACTATTTTTTTTCTGGGTCCTTATTCTCAGGTCTTCAACTGGGTCCAACATGAAGGCAAGCTCAGGTGCCAGTTTGTTCTCCTCTAAAAACGGACTGAATGAGCTGTCCACAGTTGAGACAGTAGAAAGGGAAGGGGCAATAGATTCATCTCTCTCCTTCTTCCCACTTGTTTTCAATGAAGTAATGCCGATTTTGGCAGACGTATTAGAGTATGTTGCTTCAGATGGCATAATTTGTTCTTCACTACTAGGATATTTATGAATGGCCAATGTTTCAGGCTTTGGGGCATCATTTTGTAGCAACCTTTGGGGCTCAGGGCCTTTATGTTCTTCTAAGTCATGTCCACATTTATTGGTGACTGGATCAGGTTCTTGAATTGCACTGGCTAATTTGGGGGTGATTAAGCCTTTTTCAGTGGCCTCTTTCAAGGTTACCCGCTTTCCACTCTCAGCACTAACAATCCCTCCAGTCAAAATCTGATTAATAGCAATGATTTTAACTGTATCTTCATCCAGAACTTCTTTTTCCAGTGCAGATGCCAAGGACAGTCTTTGGCCAGTAGAAGTTTCCAGGATGCCACTTGTGTCTGCCTGAGCCTGCAGCAACCTCAAAGCAAGCATGGGGTCTACTTTGCCAAGTTTAACCGCCTGAGAACACAACAATACATTCCCAGTCACCTCATCTTTTATGTCTTGAAAGGGAATAACTTCTAAGTATCTATGCCCTGACTCAATGTCAATTTTGCTCCTTCTGACCAATTCTGAATGTGGGACCAATCTACAGCTACCTGGATAAAGAATAGCTTCCTTCATTTCAGAAGTGATTGCTGCTTGTTCCATAACTGTTTTGGATATTAATCCTTTCTTAACAGCTTCAGTCAATGTAATCTTCTGTCCAAAACCAGGATCAAATATGCTTCCAGTTGAGGCTTGTATTTCTTGAACTTTTCTTTGAAAATCCGAACTGATTAATCCAAAGGATATGTCTTGAGGCAAGGAGACAATTTTGTTCCTTTCAGGATAAATGGAATGGTGCAGGCATAGGTCTTCTGCCTTTTTGAGATCTTGGTAGAAGTTTTCATCAATCAATTCATGTTCCAGAGCATCATCTACACAAAGTCTCATGCCGGTCTTGTGATGAAGGATGCCTCCGTTGGCGATCTGCTTAGCTAGGAGTCTAAAGGCCTTTTCCTCACTCAGATGTCCCTTTTTTACAGCCTGAATAATGGTCAGTGGTTCATTAGTTTTAGGATCCAAGATGCCTCCTATTTCAGCCTGCAGAGCAATGAGTTTTTCTTTCACTGTGACTTCAGCATATTTGCCTTTATATGCTTTCTCCAGCTTCTTAAGATTTTCTTGGCTGGATTTGTGTATCAGGCCAAGGTTGGAAGCCAAAGTGACAGACATTTTTTTGCCACGTTTGAAATCAACAATTCCTCCAGAAACTATTTGTGCCTCCAGAATTCTGGTAGCAGTTTCTTTATCCAATAGCCCAAACTCAGATGCCTCCTTGATGGAGTAAATGCTTTTGTTCCATGGGTCAATAATACCACTTATAGCTTGATCTGAAGCTAATACTTTTTGGAGAAGGTTCTCATCCATCAATCCTGCACTGATTACTTCTTCCATGGTTAATGACTCAGAGGTCTGTGCATCAAAGAAGCCGCTAAACATTTTCATCTCACCCATCACTTTAATGGCTGTATGGCTGGGCACAGCTCCGCAGGCAATGGCCTCATTCAGGAGCATTTTCTTCCCTGTCTGTTCATGAATTATGCCACCTTCTTGCAGCTGCATTAACAATACGTTCAGGGTGCTGTCTTCTGCAGATAGTTTTGGCAATACAGAACTAGCACTTTGATAGATAGGAACAACTCTTTTGTCTGTGGGCAACTGCTCCCTTTTAATATGTCCATCTACAGGTTTCCCTTCGGCTTGAATAAAAAGGCAATCTCTTGATCCATTTTGCACTTTTCCCATGCTTGACCAGTTGGTAGCCTCTGGCCTATCTACTGCTACTACTTCCTTTTCTAAAATGTGAGATTCTTCCATCTTTTCCAAACTGTCAGCACTCAAATCTCTTTGTCTGACATCATTTTTTCCCATTTCTCTTTCTTGCTCTTTCAATGTCATCTTTTCCTCTTCTGATAGTTGTTTTTCAAGCTTGTCATCTTCCCACTTAACCTCTGTATTCCTAGTTTCTGTTTCAAAATTGGACTTGCATTCTTGCAGCTCCATCCGACTCTTGTTCTGTATCATCATCAAACCTTGCTCTCTTCTGTGGTCATCCATCTCACTTTTGAAGTCTCCTGCAAGATCAGCTCCAGTTTCTTGTTCCTTCACATTCACAAATTCATTTATATCTCCAATTTCCAATTCAATTCTTTTGCTAGGTAGAGAAATGTGGGGTTGCAGATTTTGTTCCTGCTTGTTTTCTGATGCAGATGAATTAAGCCAGAGTTTCTCTAAAATTATTTCATTGTGGGATCCAGTTTCTTCAGTTGTGGCATTCCTGCCAACAGCCTCACACCATTCTTTGGGTTGCATTTTGCTAACTTCTAAGAGGTCAATGCTAGAGCCATTTTCTTTTGCTGGCACCAGGATTTTGGACAGGCTATTTAACTCTCCATCTACCAGAAGCAATTTTTCACCATTGTGGATGTTTACATAGCTGTGAGTCATCAAATAGAACAACATCTTTTCTTCACAGCTTCTTAAGGGACCCTTGTTTTGTTCTCCATGATCTGCTGGTTGAGCATAGGAAGAACTTCTCCTTTGGAAGCTGCTTGAGAGGCCAGAAAGGGGAATCCCTGGAATGAAGTCAGGGAGGCAAGTTGATTTTAATGTTTTGGCAACATCTTTATTCAGGATTCCACAATCAGCAGCTTTCTTCCATGAAAATATTTCATTAGTCTCAGCTTTAAAAAGTGCTTTGATGTTTTGCCTGCCTCTTAAAATTTTATCAGCCAGCTCAGAAGTTAGGATACCTTGCTCCAGAGAATTGATAACAGGCACGATCTCTCCTGACTCAGGCCTCACAAGTCCTATAAATGAATGAAGGGATTCCAGGATCATCACTGCAAGTCTTGATGTCACCAGGCCTCCCTCTATCGCTTTCTGCAGTGAACATCTCTCTCCGGTAAGGGTATCTATGATGCCCCCGGTCTGCAGTTGTCTGACCAGAAGATCACAAGCCAGTTTTTGTTTTACTAAGTTATGTCTTACAGCTTCATCCACAGTTAATTGGCAATCGCTTTTGGGGTCCTCAAGGTCACCAGCAAAGAGATGGGCTTCTGGTGATTCCATTGTCATTTCCTTTTCTACTCGTCCTTCATGAACTGCACAGAAGCTGCTTGCTTCTTGGCCTGACTGGACGCTCACCATCCCACCTGACACCTGTTTTATTGGGAGCAATTTCAGTCCTGTTTCCTGGTGAGAGACACGCTGCTGCATCAGGTCATTGAAGCTAATTTTCTCAGCTGAATTTGGGTCAGTCAAAGCCTCCTCACAATATTTCAGACTAGACACCAACTTCTGATGAAAATGATTGGTAATGATGCCTTTTTGAAGAGCATCTTCTAAACCAATTTGCTCATGGCTAGAAGGATCTATAAAACTTCCAGTTAGAAGCTGTATTTGTGCTATTTTTACTCCAGTATTTTCACTGATGATTCCATTTTCAATGGCTGCAACAACAGGATGAAATGGGCTACCTTTGAGTTGGATGTTCTTGACCAGCTGGACAGCATCCTGCATTTCCTCTAAATGTTGGTAGATCTTGCCATTCATTATGTCTGTTGTTAGGCCTTCTGCCAGCGAGAGCTTTTCCCTGGCATTGGGAATCATCAGACCAGTTGTGATCACCTGAGTTTCCAAGAGGAGAAGGCCTGTTTCTTGGTCTAGGAGACCTTTTTGCATGGCGTCAAAAATAGAGAAGACTTCCATTGTGCAAAGATCTAGAACTCCAGCAATAGCCTCATTTCCCTGGGGCAGAGGAGCAGGGAAAGGAAAGAGAAAAAAATCAGAATCACAGTAACAGTGGACCTATAAATGCATCCCAGTCCAAGATGTCTCAGTCATCTAAAGCATGGTGAATACTGAACTAGAAAGCAGATATTAGGTTGGTAATTTATACATTATATGGCATAACATGGGAACAATTTTGATCTTACAAATTGTTTTCAGTTTGGAGCTCAATTTAACCAAGCAGGGGAGGCACTACTGAGACATTTTGGGTACCCAGCAAGAGCAGCAAAGCAGCAGGAGCATCCTTGCAGCCACTTTCCCCAGGGGAAAAAGACAGAGAAAAGGAGAGAGAAGCATACTAAGAACCACTGCCATGCACTCCTCATAGTCCCCTTTATTCAAAGGAGGAGACAGGAAGCAAAGAAGGACCACAACACAGCTCACCCAAGGAAAGGGAGCAGGAGAAAGCATGCAGCTCCCCAAAGAGGCAACAGGTCCCCTTCTTGCTTTGCAGTTTCACAGCATCCCTTTGACTGGTTTGGGAATGGCAGCCTAGAGGAAGGGATGCAACGAAATGCTTTCTACTATCCAAACATGACTTTTTTTTAATTTCAAGACACTGCAGTTCTTCTAAAGTTAACATGGAACAATCTAAATCGCCTGATGTTTGGGAGAAGTTATTTTGAAGCAATGGAAAGAGCTGGGCTAGAAACCAAGAGATTGTAAGATCTTCTTTTGGCACTATCCCTCATGCTCAGCCCAACCCACCTGGGAGCTTTCAGTCATGGGGAAGAGGGAGCATTAGGTATTATCTCTTGAGTTGTATGAAATATTTTATTTGAATTCATGAGCCACCCAATTTCAAGGGACAATGAAGCTGCATATTCAATATAGTAAATAAACACATGTGGTTTGCCCTTGGAGGACCAAATTACCTGCCTACCATTATCACTATTGTGAACAAATGCTTTTCAATCACATGGGAATTGGGCCTAAGACCACTGCAAATACAATTTTACAAAGTGATCCAAATGACAAAGCTGCAGTTTAAGCCGATAGCCTCCCTCCCGCAATCGATGTCTGTCATGGAAATGCTGTGTTTTCTCAATCTAGCAGGTCAGCCTTAACTGAGGAGAGGAAGAGAATCTGTGAATCTTTACATCTTGGACGTTTTGGACCATCAAGATTACAGGTCCATGGGTGAAAAAGTTGTGGAGCATTCTTCCGCCAAGAGAGTCTTCCGTTAAACCCAGAACTGCACCCTGTAGGCCTTCTCCTGCTCCCTGGGCCAAGCGAGGCAGAATGGCAGTTCAACTGCAAAGGCCTTCCAAGCCTGCTACCACCACAGCCACAACTCCAGACATGCACAGTCAGATATTAAAACAAGAGGGAAAGAGAAGGAGAGGCGTCAAAAGGCTTCTTACTTACCAGAGTCAGGGGGCTTTGCCGTGAGCAGTTAAAGACAGAGCCTTTAGGTAGCAGCTCAGCCGTATGGCACACACAGTGTGAAAGCTGGGGGTTAGCGTCCGGCATGCGACTGTTTGTTTTGCACAAAAGTAGAAAGAACACCCACACAGGGCCCAACCCACACAACTGCCCCACATTTCTAGAGTGAGAGTTTTGGTGCAAACTCCAGGAAGGTTAGTTTTTCAAATACAACAACAGAAAATTGTAAACAAGGATGATAGTTATTCTGAATAGTAAATAAACACAAAACAGAAAACAACAGGGACACATCATCATGCTCAATGCAGAGGCTTCTGCTAGTTTTGGTGTTTTGGATGTGCAGCTCTGTCTGCTCCACCCATTGCCTTAAAACTGGAACAATATTTCTGTCCCCCAGCAGAGATGTTTAAGAGGTTCCTTGCAACCGTGAAGCACCCAAACCAAACTTCAGAACTTCATTCTTATTCTCACGTGAAATTGAAAAATGCCTTTTGGATTCCTCTCCCTCCCTCCATTTCCCCAGAACCAATGACAATGTGTTCCACATCAGGCACCCAGAATTATAAAGGCATGATGGTTCCTAAGAGGGATCACAGTGGACAGGAAGAAATAAGTAGGTTTTTCTAGGCTGGGGCAAAAGAGAATTTGGCAAAGGAACCTCAAATTCAGTGGTTATAGCACTTGGGAGAAGAGCCCTCTGATGATTTTCTGATGGCATCCGCTGTGATGCTATGATTTAAAACAGCACCCCTTTTTCTGCAGGGGATATGCCCAAATAAAAAACTAACATTTATCCGTCTGGCTGATTTGGTTTACAATGCTTCAGAGTAGAGGGATCCTGCAAGCATTAAAAACACAATTCCACACAGATATACAGGTTGCATTGGACACATGAATATCACATTTATATACAATGATATACAGATATATTCAGATAGGACTTATGAACAAAGCAGTAACAAAGATAGGAAGGATGCTCAGACAATTGGCCAAGGGTATAAGAAAAGAGGGCACCAAGTAGCAGAAGGCTGCAGAAGAAGAGGGCTGAAGGAAGAAATGTTTTGATCATTTTCGACCACTGACACATTTATGATTGGAGAGCATCATAGGCTGTGAATTGGTCATGTATAGAATCTTTCCATGGGCCAACCGAGAGGGAAGAGAAAAATTCTATCTCCTTGCTCTTTTGGGATTACAAGCATAAATCCTATTTCAGCCACGTTCTTAACCCTGCTTTGTAGGTCATCTGGCTTATTTCTGTGACTTTCACCTTTTGTTCTCCATTTCCTGAAAAAGCCTCCCCTCCCCCTTCCCTGTCTCTTCTACACAAGATCTGCTACAGGCTCCTTGGGTAGTTCCCATAAGTTGGTCCCTCGCTCAGGTGTCTATGAGCTTCTTTTCTTGCAGAAGCAGCCAAATGCAGGAGAGGGGCTGATAGCAAGATAGAAGCAGACTGGGACATTTCCTACCCCATGTTTTTTCATATAAGCCGTCCTTATTTTCAAGGGATGGATGGTGATAAAGTGAGAGGCCAACCTTCGTAAGCCTTTCACAACTGTCTTGAGAGAAATACTACTGGAGGAAGCACAAAACTACACATCCTCTCTGAGAAACAAAGAAAGAAAGAAGAGCCCTTCAGGGGACAGGCCTCATCTACCATCTTCTAACCGTTATAGCTGTCATCTGAAACCCTCAGCTTCGTTCCAGTAATCCATACAGATCAAACATTTCCTCCTCATGTGGTAAAGGAGTGGAACAAAAATGGGGGGTTGTCTGTATGAACTTTCAGAGTTTTTCAGGATGTTTCTAAGCATGGACCTTCTCTTCTACCACTGGGGAAAGAATGCCACAAATGTGGAAAATAAAGAGAATGGGAAAAGAGCTACCTTATGTGCCATCTCCTGAGCCATGTGTCTCTGCAACTGCTGAAGCTGTTCTGTGGAATCACAGCAGAGCTGGTCATACGTTTCTTTGAGCGCATCCAAGTGGACTGAAATCTGTACCTTCTCCTGGTCAGAAAGCCTGCAGCATGGGAAGAAAGTCAGTTTGGAATAGAAACACAGCCAGTTGGCAGCAGCTGAGCGAGATTCTGCATTCCCACACATGAAGTTGCCCATGCAAACAGTCATCCTGGCCAAACCCCTTGAACATCAGTAAACCATACTTTTCTGAGAATTCAGATGTGAATGGTGGGTGACTAGTATGACTACTGTACTTTATTAGCAGGAATAATTGACAATATGTGCTTATTTAATATGTCAATATGGATAGTCACACAAGATGTGACTGGGCTATAGGAAGATGGAATAACTGACTAAAGCAGAAATGCCCAGCCTTTTTCTTTAAGTGGTCCACTACCACCATCCTCCAGATCTTCTGGAGACCTCCAAATGGAATAGAAATCCATTAGAAATGGTATGATAAAAAGAAGTCAAGATCAAAGGTCCATATGGCTCTTTATGAATGTTGATTGCATCAGTGCAAACACCATCGTGACTTGTTTTGTCACCCATGTAGATATCCCAGAGGGGCCTTAAGAATGGAGTGGTCTAAAGGTCCCAGTGCCTCTCCTGCATCAGGATTTTATTTTTCCTGACCAGAAACTTGATCTTATTCCATTATGTTTCTGCAGTGTTATTGTTATTCTGCTGAGATATATAGTCTTTACATAATTCCTTTCCCAGAAAAAGGTCAAAATCATGAGATTTCCAGTAAAAATGCAAATAACTTGTACAATTTGGTGATTTGCCAAAGTTTCATTAAAAATTATTTTGGAGTCTGCTTTGCAGGCTTGCACTAATCCAACTTTCCAAATTCACATTATTTTATCTACTTACTTGTTGTTATGCTTTGCAAGAAATATTTGAGTAGTTTTTATAGCTTCTGACACTTCTTCCTTCTTTGCAGCCAATTCGTCATTCAAGCCCTGACAGGAAGAAAGAGAAGAGAAATTTCAAATGATAAATTTCCCCCCAAAAAATGAGCCCAAGAAGAAGCTCAGATTGAGGTGGATAGCACTGGAAACATCCATTAAGACTGATGTGACATGGGCAGTGGTCTATAAAGAGAAAGAAACATAAAAGGAAAGGTAGGCCCTCAACCCATGCAGGCACCTGCTGCTCCAAAATGGACTTCTCAATATCTCCCAGCATTTTCCTCTTTGTGGGTGAGATGCTTCTGAATGGTGGGCTCTGTTTGAAGCTTGTGACCCAGCCCAGGAGTCCTTTCACCTTGTCCATGTGTTCCTGTTTCTCTTCCTCTACAACTTTCTGAAAAAAATGAAATCAAACAACATGGAATGTTGATACATACTATATATACCAATGCCACTGATGCCCACAATGATTCTTACATAACAATGTAAAACTACATGGCACCAGTGTGCTAGAACCAGAAGGTAGTTGATGTCCTCTTCTAAGGTGAGTGAATATAAACCTGCCTGGGAGCTTCCCAGGGCGTACGAAGAACGGCTGAGGGACACAGAACAATGCTGAAACTGAAATGAGCTCAGGAGACTGGAGAGAATGACTAGGCCCAGGTCCTCTCCAGTGTGTCGGGAAAGGTGAAACAATGCACAAAGATGACATGAAGCTAAAAGTCTTTGAATGCCAAGGTGCACAGTTCTGCTAAGGTCTGTTTGTCTTGGCTGCCAAGCTGACCAGCCTGGAGAATATAGAGGAGGGTCCTCCCCTTGTTGGACCTGCTTCCAGAGGAAGAACTCAGACCTCCATTTGATGAGCTGCATCCAGAATTTCTTCAAGACCCTCTGCTCTGCACTAATGTGCTTCTGTTGGTGAAATCCTGATGCCCCCCTAAGAAGGGCACACAACTTCTCATGATTTTATGAGATAAAACCTGGTGCAAGACTCCAAGAGGTCAAACTGGATTCACAAGGCAAATACCAGATGACATAAATTCTGTCCTTACTTCTTCCTCTTCCAGGCGCCGGAGTGCATCACTGATGTACTTCACATGTTGTGTAGTCAATGTGACCAGGGCTGTGTAGTGTGTCCGTAAATCCATGAACTACAAGGTATGAGAAGCACAAGGAACATAACCATTATAGCCAACAACAATGAAGCATAAAGTAAAATGGTTCTCATTTACAGAAAGTAAATCACCGCAAAAAACAAAGGAGAAACCTCAGAAGGAAGAAACTCTTCCTCCTCCTCTCCTCCCCACAAGAAGAAAGAAAAAGGAAGGTGAAGAGGAGGGGATGATTCACAATCAATTTCGGGGATGAGGTGAGCATTTCTTAAGTTAGCGGCCAGAAGAACTGTAGCCTGTATGATGTGAAAGGCAAGAGCTTTCCTTTTGCCTGTCTCTTTTGACCCTCGAGATGAAAGGGGGAAATCCTTGAATCGGAACCTCCAGAGTTGGCAGAGAGCAAACTTTTCGCTCTCCCTATTAGCAGGATTGTGAGTGGTTCAGTGTCAAAGAGCTCCAGTTAACAAAAGCTCCCTTTGTTTGGACTAAGCACAGGAACCAAGAGTTTGTATCCAAGCGCAAGGCTTGGGAGACCAACTACTTGACTGGCTTTCTTGGGTAATTTTCATCAAGGGTTTATTCTCTAAAGGCAAAAGTTAATATGATCTGAAAAGAAAGCCGTTTGTAGGAGCAACACTAAGAATTAAAAGTTCTCTGGCCCGCCAATCCCTGCAGAGAAAAACTCAAGGCCAGCAGGGGCCACACCTCACCTCTTGTGTGATGGCATCGGAGGAGGAAAGGACACGCCGGCGCTTCAAGGGGGATTTTTGCTGAGATTCCACAAATGCCCGATAGGTCATGAGCTGCAACTCATACTCCTGAGAGGGCAAAATGACCAAAGGGATTCTGGTGATACAGGATGATCTCTCCTACGTTCCGTATTCCCACGACTGACTAATTAAGACACTCTGATACTCTTTCTCAGAGTAAACAATCATCACCATCCTGAAGCAAACTGGGCCCCAACCAATTTACTGAATCACGTGACTTCTGTACCCACTCTGGAGCAGTTACTGGACATAAACACCCCCTCAAAAAATCCCCATCTTTGAAGCAAGCAAAGAACTTGATTAATTATCAACTATGGTAACATATTCAGATTGCTGCCAGGGAAACTGCCTGATCCAATTTCTTTCAAAAGATACAAGGCAGCACAGAAAATTACGTGAAACATATGTACTTTGGATGCACGTAACAAAATATTTAATATTATTAATAATAATAATACATTTATAATATAATTAATAAATATTACAAAATACTGTTGAATGCTTTAATCACAATGAAATATTAGCAATTTCTTTTCTGCTATACACCAAAGTCCAGCAGTGCACTCATGCATTCTTTATGGAAAAGATTTGCCTATTATCTAAAGTCACCTTCCCAAATGTCCAGGACTATTTCAGAACCAGCCTCAGTTTTGCCAAACTCTGTCCCAGCTAGTTCTGCATTCTTTGTCTTTGTACAATTAGAGGAAATATGTTACCTTGACAGCAGTTGAATATTGCTGCGACAGCTTCTGACACTGGTCCAGGTTGGCTTGATTTGCTTCTATTTCAGCAAACAGTGCCTTAAATTCAAAACAAAAGCAAATGTCAAAATCACAATTACAAGCAGGATGCTTATCTGCCTTTTTTAAAAAACTCAATCCACATTTTTGAGCAGAGGGATGTATCCACATGGCCTCTCCAATAACCTAACTCTTTCATTAAGCCACGTCTTGTCTTTCCCTTGTGTTTTCAGTCTTTCTTGGGGAAGGTGCAACCTTTCCTTTTCAATTCATAGTTCTTATTCCAAAGGATATAAGGGATGGCCAGATATGTTGTATCAAAAGGTCATTAAGTCTAGCATGGAGTTGATACTGAAATCAAATAGATTTTCTCTTCTCAGTAGGTTAAAAAATTCACAGCAATGGCAATTGTCATTATGAAAAAACGAGACATCTGCTGCTAGGGAATTTAGACTATGACAGATCTAGACAAGATAAAGTGCAGAATCTTTATGTTCACAAATGCTAGAGACATTATTTTTCCAAGCGCCAAGACATTCATGTGATGATTGAACCTGGATGAGAATGAGGGAAACTGTCGTTCCAGAGAAAGAAGGTTCTCGCCTCTCTCCATCATCCTTACCATCTGTTGACTGAGCTGCTCTGAGAGCACCCGGCTGTCCTCTGCTTGTCCAGGCTTCATCAGCTCCTGCTGGACTGTGGTCTGCTCAATCCACCGGACAAGTGCCCCATGACAGTTCCGATAATCCCTGAGAACATCCTCAATATTCTCCAGATCAGATTTTCTACCAAGAAATGGAGGAAATGAAGCAGAGGAAAGGAGAAAACGGCAACTGATAAAAGACGTTTCAAATACAGTAAACTTATAATAGAACAGTAGAGGGAACATCCACAGAGTATGATTTTTAAAAAGTCAACAGATTAACAGATTTAACAGATTAACAGAGTTGGAAGGAACTTTATAGGTCATCTAGTCCAGCAGGAGACCCTGCACCATTTCTGACAGATTTGTCCGGTCTCTTCTTGAAAGTCTCAAGTGATGAAGCTCCCACAATTTCTGAAGGCAACTTCTGTTCCATGGGTTGATTGTTCTCTCTGTCAGAAAGTTCCTCCTTATTTCTAGGCTCCTTGATCAGTTTCCATCCATTATTCCTTGTCTGGCCTTCAGATGTTTTGGAAAATAGCTTGACGCCTTCCTCTCTGTGGAAGCCCCTTAAATATTGGAAGACTGCTATCATGTCTCCCCTGGTCCTTCTCTTCACTAGACTAGCCCAGTTCCTGCAACCGTTCTTCATATGTTTTAGCCTCTAGTCCCCTAATCATCCTGGTCACTCTTCTCTGCACTTTTTCTAGAGTCTCCACATCTTTTTTATAGTGTGGTGATCAAAACTGGATGCAGTACTCTAGGTGTGGTAACAATAGCAATAGCAATAGTTAGACTTATATACCGCTTCATAGCCCTCCCTAAGCGGTTTACAGAGTCAGCATATTTCCCCCAACAACAATCCAGGTCTGCTTGTATTAATTTGAGAAAAAATAGTTTAAAAAATTGTCCTAAGGGGGGGGGGTTTCCTTGCCT